ATTGTACTTAAGTACATTAAGTACTTAATGTACTTAAGTACAGTAACTTGTACTTGTACTTCGTTACTTCCCACCACTGGGTGCCGCAGCTCGTCTTCATGTCTCCTGTTTTGCTCCAGGTGGATTTTGACCTGTTGGCAGAGAATCTGGTCCAGCTGGAGAGGCGCTGCAAGGCATCATGGGAGAACCTGAAGCTGGTGGCCAAGCATGAGAGCAAGGCAGTGCTGAAGAACAAGATGACGGAGTTCCTCAGGGACTGCACCCAGAGGATCAAGATCCTGAAGGTCGTCCACAGGAGAGTCATCAACAGGTAGGGGGCGGAGCCCCAACCTGTCCATCCCTGGACATGGCGTGGACAGGTGTGGACTGACGTGTCCCCTGCAGGTTCCACTCCTTCCTGCTGTTCCTGGGTCAGCCGTCCTTCTCCGTCCGAGACGTGAAGGTCACCAGCTTCTGCCGCATCATCAGCGAGTTCGCTCTGGAGTACCGCACCACTCGCGAGCGCGTCCTCACCATCAGACGCAAACGCACTATCAAGAGGGAGCGGAACAAGACCCGGGGCATGCTGATCACTGAGGTAACGCTCTGGGGTCAGAGGTCAGGGGTCAGGAGCCAGTTCTGCTCAATTTGATCCACACCAGCTGGATCAGCACTGCCTGTTCCTACAGTGGAGATACAGCAGGGGGCGCTGCTGCACAGAAATACCTGAAACCAGTAATGCAGCAGAAGAAAAGTTTTCAAAACACCCTAAGATTTGACAAAAATATTGATTAGAAATTAAAGTTTATTGATCTTTGAGAATTACTTACTTAGAGTTCTCAACTAGTTAATGTTTATTTTCCATGTTTTATTTTTCATAAAAACCGTCTGGACTTCCTGGGAATGATCTCGGATCGTTTCAGTCAGACGATGTTTCAAACCTCATCTTCTCTTATTTCCCTCAGACGGAAAAGTTTTCGGGCGTTCCTGTTCAGGATAGCATCTCGCCCGTCTCCATGGCAACAGATCCGGGCTCTGATCAGGAGGAGGAGCATGAAACCATGACGAGCCTGCTGACCAGCAGCTGCAGCAGCCTGACTGTTCATCCTGCAGGCCTGCGCCGCTCCAGAGCCGTACGGAGTAAGAACCACAGAACCCTGGCCTGGTTCTGGTTCTGGTTCTGGGACTGGGTCTGGTTTGAGTCCAGTCAGGTCCGGTTAATGTTCTGGTTCTGTTGCTTAGGTAACCGCTCGGCGAGTCCATCCACTCTGACTGCTGCTAGGGACGACGGAACCAACTCTCAGGACGACGCCACTGATGACATCATGGATCGACTGGTGAAATCTGTGACCCGGAACCCGTCAAACAGAACTGCCAGCCCAAAGACCCGCAAACGGTCCCGACTCAACAGAAAGTCCAGTGAGTCCAGACGCTCCCGGGTTCTCTGAGGTTCTGCTGAGGCCCGACGGAATCACTTCCCTTACCATCATTAGCTGAAGCTAACGCTAAAGCCATATTTAGCTGAATCTAAATCTAAAGCCATCTTTAGGTGGAGCTAATACTAATGCTACAGCAACATGCTGTGCGGTAAAGCTCGTTGGCATTGCGACTGGACGTCTAGTGCAGCGCTGGAACCTTCTTCTGGGTCAGTCTGGTTCTGGGTGTTTGGAACCAAACAGCAGTTCTGTTTCCCAAACAGCCGGTATCAGGCCGGCTCCTCAGCCCTGTTTTCACTTCCTGACTAAAACCCCGCTGAGCGGATTAGCGTTGGCGCGTCCGTCTGCTGGAAGTCCCCAACCAAACGCTGCAGCGCCTCCATGGGAGGCCATGCTGGAGTAACGGCCAGCAGAACCTCTCCCTGGTTCTGGTTTTCTGGTCCGGAGGAGTTTCTCCTCCAGCTGAGGATTCATGAAGTCCAGCAGCTGAAATGACCTCTGACCTGTTGGGTTTATTGTTCATGTGATGGAGATGAAAACGTTATTTTTCTGAGTTCTGATCCGTTTTCTCTGTGTGCTGCAGTGCGGAGGACCCTGAAGGGCGGATTGGACCAGGAGGCGGTCCAGGCTCTGGGTCTGCAGCCCAGCAAGACGGGAGACAGAGTCTGACCCCGCGCTAACCTCCTGACCTCCTGACCTCCTGACTTTCTGCTGCTCCAGCGTTTATCTCCTTATCTGTTTGCAAATTAACCTTTAGCGCAGCAACAGCAGCTCAGACTGCGGATCAGAACCAGAACCAGAACTGATCTGTTTGCTCTTCCCACCAGACCTGGACTTACCTGCTGCCTCATTGGTTCTGATCCAGAAAGTCCTGCAGGTGGATGCCCAGAAGAACTCGGATCAGAACAAACTGCCTGAGATGAACCCCAGAACCACCTGCAGCTTCTAGAAGCTTCAGTTTGCTGTAAATTAGCCAAGGTTCTGCTCAGGTTCTGGACCTGCTGCTGGTTCTGGACCTCTCACCTCCACAGCATTCTTGTTAATCTGGTACCAAGCAGTGCGACTGCTCACCTGCCACCAGGTGTGTTGGTGTGATGTCACTGGGTTCTGGTGTGATGTCACTGGGTTCTGGTGTGATGTCACTGGGTTCTGGTGTGATGTCACTGGGTTCTCAGATGTGAGGCTGAATGTTTTTCTCCTGTTAATAAAGATTTTCAATAAATCTGATGTTCTGGTTCTGGTTCTTCCACCTGTAGAACCTGAGCTGGGTTCCTCCAGTTGGAACTCGAGCGAACCTGTTGGTCCTGTTCTGGGTTTCGGTTCTTCTCTGACCCAACTCAGTGTCTCCAGCAGTAGAACAGGAAGTGGGTCCATCAGTACTTCCTGTTTGTTTGTTTCGACTTCCTTTGACTAAAACTGAGCAGCTCAGCAGAACCGTGGTTCTGTAAAGTTACACGGCCAAAACCTTCAGTCTGTTTCTGTGGAACTTTGCAAACGATTCTGCAGCGGAGCGAGGAGCATCCAACCGCATCCAACCAATCGTCCAACCGCATCCAACCAATCGTCCAACCGCATCCAACCAACCGTCCAACAGCATCCAACCAATCGTCCAACCGCATCCAACCAACCGTCCAACA